ATTCTAATCTCAAATAATAGATAATTACGAAGAGATAGAACGTATATAATAATAATTTCATGAAATTTTAAGCAGAACTGAATCCTAATTAAAAGAAAAATTAGAGTAAATAATAATGTATTTTATAAGGTAACAGTTTAATGCATTGATTAAAGAGCAATGTTGTATAATTCACCGAGAAAATAGCACGTGTCTATAGTTGTTAACGCGAGAACGCATGGGATATGTATGCAACAGCAAAAACAGCAACAACGATGACGTTAATGGAATTCACGACGACCATCAAACAGCGAGCATCACGAAAGTTCTGCAAAATGTATCATAAACCGAGCAGGATTCATTGATTAAACGCCCGTGGAAATGCTGGCAGAGGAACGACACTAAACATAACGATGAAATACATTATGGATTTGAAGCTCGATGGGAATCGATGAAATCTTATCGGGTATAACGGGGATCTGCTTAAAATTGAATTCCAGTAATATATTTCTATCGTAGTTGCTGTACTTGCTTTATAAACAATTCGTTTCTTTGTCCTTTGAAGTCGTTGGATTCTAAAACACCTGCAATTTTATCGGTCAAACATGTGTCAATGTAAACTATAGATGAGCTCCAAAATAACGATGTTTCATCCCAAACAATAACTTAGCAGAAAGTCACTGGAATGACAAGCAATGTTCAGAGTTATGTTATAAATTTTATTGGTTGTATACAGGGTGGAACACCTAAATCAGATGACCTAAATATGAAGGTGATTAAAATTTCCTACAGATACATATAGCACATTTGCCTATACGCTCGTATTCAAACATAAAAATCCTGAGATTAAATGATCGGAACAGTACGGTTATTAAATATTAAGCTGGTTGAATTCGATTGTTTATGCTTATGGAAAAAAATAGGATTTCATTTTAAATAATATCAATGACTGAAATCTCTTAATTTTTCAATAATTATTCATAAATTATTATTACAATTTTATAAGTGTCAATAATTTACACTTCCAGTTCAAGCATACTAATTGTTAATTAAATTTCATTTAAAATTTTTAATATACGATGAAAGTTTTGTCCTTTATTATATTTCACGGAGCTCTATAGGATGCTATAAATGCATAGAATCCGCGATCTATACGTGTAACCACAGAATCGTCGAATGTCGAGTCGAAGGGGACACCCGTTACCGTCTGGTTCTCGTGCTCTTTTCTCTTCTCAGGGTTCTCTTCACGCTCCGTTTGTGCCGTCGGTTTAAGGGTTAATCCCCCGAGCTTATCTGATCGCGTGACTTCGACGAGAAGTTCTCGAGCCTGGCCCAGCCGGGACAAGCCCCTCTGGCTGATACACGCGGCGCAGGTCTGTTAGTTTACACCGCTTACGCGATAAAATTTCCGTCATTAAGCTGAGGGCCCCCGTAGCTTCGCGCGCCGATAATGGACTGCGTGTTACGGTGATTTCCTCGTAAATACTTAAGCTAGATTCACCCCACTTGTTACGTCTTCCACGTGCCTATCGACTCTCGATACCACCTCTAGAGACGAGGAAATCGCTTTTCCTTGCTTCCTCCCAATGAACTTCTGTACTAATGCGAGCCGTTTATCTTGAAAGTGATGCAAGTCGATTTTTTTTGGAATGCGATGTTTGAGGATTTGCAATTTAATTGAATCAAAAATATTGGTGAATGCTCATTAGATTTTATCCACTTTTGTAGGAACTTGAGTCTACAGGTATTTATATTAACCCTCATCCGTCCCATAAATCAATCTGACATATTTTTCGCATGAGAAATTATATTATTTTGCCATGTGTAAGTTAGCTCAAGGTCCGTGACGTTTGTTTTAAAGAATTTGTAAATTTAACTAATGCTCTCTTCATTGTATGAATTGTTTACCACTGTGTCAATTTTATATCGAGGGATAAATTAAGCTGGGAGAATATACGAGGGGTGAGGGTTAGTATTCGGACACCATACAATTTTGACCTTCTAAGCTGTATATTTTGTATAAATGAAATATATGTAAGAAAATTAAAAAGAAAAACTTGATTTGTTACGTACGGGTGCTTAGGTAATGGAAAGAGAAATCGACTTAAATAATGGAAAGAGAATCCCTCACTAATTGTAACACAATGAAACATTAACAAAACGATAAATAGAATAAATCATCTTTTCTTTAAACATGATTATATTATTATACTTATAATATTTGTCATAAGTAACAAAATTAAATCTTTCTCTGTACATATTTTACGTCATGCGGTAGTATCAATTTTTGTAGTCATTTTTAACAATATAACAATATCATTATTGTTAACTAACGATCTAAGAATATAGGACCAAGTATGCAAGAAAATCAAAATCAATTGCAGTTGAATCCGAAATTTAGATAAGTCGTGCAGTGTTCGTTTAAAAATTCATCCCACAGAAGGATCTACGCGATTCCAGTACTCGAAAAGATGGGCGCACGGCGTACAAAGGCGCGTAAACAGTAGCCACGATTACCTTAAAGCCACAATTTTGCTTCATAATTCTGTCCCCGAGGATTTCCATTATGAAGTTTGTGATATAAAATGCACGCGCAATGAACGCGCTACAGCAATAAATTCGATTATTCTAAAAGTTGTAGCATGGTTATGCGTGCCGTACGTTTGTCCCCGGAAGTTTTGCTCGAAAACTTCTATCGTTAAATGGGACGAATAAACATTACCGTGAGCAAACACGAATATCTCAACGTGAAACTAGTATTCGTGTTCACGCGACATACTTTATTTGGAAAATAAAAGTAAATAGTTAATAGACTTGTATTGCTACCCTTATAGATGGCTTGAGCAGCATAGTTAACGTCTTTCGATAATTATTTCTTTTAACTTATGTAATTTGTCTTTCTCCACGTTTTTTTATGTTTATCAGTGTAAAGAGAGCTTGTCAAAGGTATACACACAATTAGTTACTTCTTTTCCGTTGTTAGAGAGTGTTAACACTACAACTATCAGCGTTGAAGGTATACTAAATTAAATTGTATGATATATTCATATGCATTATATATAATAAAATATAATAGAATAATGTAAAATGTATAATCAACGAAAAGTGAACCTTACTTTTAACAAAAGGATCTTTATGGTGTCAAAAAAATTTGAAATCCGTCATTTTGACGGGTTTGGTTGTTCCAGCGTTGCGAAGTATCGTCAGACACGAAACCGCAAATGACATTAAATTTTTTGAAAAGAGAACACAGTTCCTTGTGGAACACTTAACCCTATAGTTCTACACGGCACTCTGTGTATTAAGTTTCATCATTAGGGTTAATATTTAGATGAATAGCCCGCGTAACGCGGGGGAGCCATTAACACAGGTATGCACGTTGAAAAAAAGTCGTTTAAAAAAAAAGAGCATACAAATTTATTTCACGATTTGCAATCAGCGAGTTTGTGATTATGGAATAATTTTCTGTATGTACGAACGCATTTAAATGCTTGAGCTTTTCATTTTTGTTTTTCGTAATTTAAAGCGAATCGAGGGTAGATTGTATGTATTACTACACTTTGTTTATCTCGTGTAGCGGATATACTTTTTAAATTACATTCCGACGATAAAGGGTATCTTTGTACCGTTACTTTGGTACGTGAATGAAGACATTTTATTTATGCTAATGGTTTGACTGTAGGAAAATGGTTAATAATAATAATTGGATTGCGGGCGTTTATTTATAGTCTGTTATGATCTGAAAAATGTAGTGACATATAAATTTTTGCAAAATTTAATAGTATTCAGGGATTATTATTACAGGAAGTCTAGTACAGGAATCATAATTCTGTTCAACTTTGTTTTTTTACATATCAGTTGCCAAAATTGTAAATGTGAATAAACATCCGCAGTCTAATAATCATTATGACTTCCTTTTAAAGTTATTTATTTTTGTAATTATATTATTTCTATAGCTACACTGTTTAAAAAGAATAAAAAAAACAGTTGAGAAAGATGCAACGAAATTCTAAATGGAAATTTCATTTTATAAAAATTGTATACTTATCTTAATATTTTTATCGTAAGTTACAATTTTTAGCGACATGATATTGTTAATGAAAATTTATGGTTTGGGACAACGAACAATGCGTGACAACATTTTTTTCGAGCGCTACGTGGAAACAACTGGTTTTGTTTTCGTGAATTATCGGGAAACATATTTGAATTTGCACGGAGAATTAAACTAGACCAGATGATGATCATCAGTTTTGCAAAAATAAGCTGCTTGGGCAATTGCAGCCCGATGCAGCGGCTATTACGCTGAAATTAATAATCAATGCTAATTGCCATTGTCATTAGGTGAACGACCATTATATGTTGCGTATAACTATGTTCTTCGATCTACTTTACAGGGTGCATTCAGTATGCCGCGAATTTTACGGGATCGTGTTGTTTATTTAAATGAAAATACACTCCCGGTTTCCTCGACGATATTTTGTTTATTATTCACGTTTCAGTATCTCTATTGGTATTTGTTAAATAGCATATTATTAGTTTTATGAAATGATAATAGTTACATCGTAGTTTATTAAAAATGTTCACTCCAGAATATTTCCAAAGCTTTTCGTATATTAAAAATCAGTACTATTAAATCGATTTTTTGTTCAAGCATTTCTTCCTCGTGTTATGCAAATTTTAATACATTGTAATACATATAATATTATTTACTTCAAACACGTACATACCAAAATAGTTGGATCACGTTTTATTGCCAACAGTCTTTTACTTCATTTTTGGCAATTCCATCAAATCAGTTGTTAGAACGAAATATTGAATTAGTTATAAAACACAAAGGGTGAAATTATAGGTTATAGCGAAGTTATGATGTAAAAAATATTAATGGTGATATGGTCAGATAATTTTATTTATCCATTAACGCTAATTTCGAGTTTATCGATGAAATCTCGACATTGTGGTACTTTGTCGAAATTTTACGACGTGCTTCGAGCTTTATCAAGCCATTACTCGTAGAAACTCACTGTAAAGTCGAATGTTGCCCTCAGCTTCGCCAATCGAGTTCTTCGAGATGCACTTGTAACCACCGAGATCTTGCTTCTGCAGATTCATAATCACTAATCGCATCTGAACGCTGTACAGTGACGTTTTCACCTCAGACATCGAGTACTTGTTGTTGCTAATTATCATCTCGCCTGCAATGCAAATTATAAACGCATGTCGTTAATAAATTGGTTCATCTGTACACGGTGTGTTTGTAATGGCGGTTTAGCTACGTGTACAGTTCTCACAGTTATTCTTTCATTTAAAAAATTTTACTTAAATTGGAGGATTACATAAAACTTGTCCGCGTTGAAAAATTTATACATGTGTTACAGTTAACTTTTTAGTCCGTAGTAATTCTTGATAACTTTCAATATTTATTAAATTACTAGAACAAGAACGTTCATGCAGAAAAAATATAACAATAGTTTATTTAAATATTTAAAGATGTTGACGTAAATATATTGAATGAAATTGATATTATATTCCACGCAGTAATTTATAATACGTGAATGTAATCCTAATTATGCATGATGTGGACAAAAAATTCTGTTCGTACCAGACGAATGTTCAAACAGGATTATTCCGCAAATGTCCGTATAAATTCACACATATGTCTTTTTTAAAAGATTTTATAAATTTACGAGTTCCCAATGTCACTGTTCAGTTGTGACTGTTTCGTAAAAGAAATTGCAATTGCGAGATGAAAGGGAGCAGAAGCGTAGAAGTTGTAAATATGAAACGGAATTTGTAATCAATGCAGAAAGCATACATATATGTATATACGTTACGTGGGCAAATATGCTTTTATGTATATTACCACGCAGTTCACTCTGTGTTATTATTTTTTTTAGAACATATACATATTGTGCGCAGAACTTTTATATATTTATTTTTCAACGATCGAAATAATATTCACTTTATATAAAAAATTCCTTTGCTTGAAATCACATCAGTACATCATTCTACAGAACATTAATTCCGAATATTACACAGTATTCATTAAAAATGTCTATCTAAAAGGTTTTAAATATTTAATATGTTCTGTCAAAGCGTCCAACTAGGGAAGTGACCCAAATGTTAAATTAGTTTTGAAAAAATAGTGGTTAGAAGTTATAACACTCGATCATTTAGGTGTTTTTTGCTCCTTTTCCGGTTATTTTATTTACATGTATCCAAAAGAATCTAAAAAGTAGAAAAAACTATAAAAAGCAAATTATTTATAACCATTTTCAGAACTGCTTAAGACGGACTTTGACGTTACTTTTTGGTTGGTACTGAATTTTCCAGGTGAGTGACACTTATTTCATTCCTATAATTTCACACCTGGATAACTTCCCTTGTAAGAAGTGTTAAATCATCGATCATCCCGCGTAATGTTCATAATATACACAAAAACTCGAGACAGAAGTTGCTAAATAATTTACAAAATAAGTGGTCACCAGGCATTTAGTCCAACGCGAATTCGCAGTCGATACAGTATTCGGTTCTAGATCGAGCACAAATTTCTGCGCGTGACGTATCTCTGTTCGTCAACTACGAGCGCGCCGTGACAAATTATATTTATCGGGAAACGAAAAAGCACGGTGGCCCTCCTATCCGGCCGAGTGTGCCGGATAAACATATCGATTCGCGAATTTTTTGCTACAAACGCGGATCGCACAGTTTCTCGACCGTAAAACCGGAAAAATAAATGAATTTTTAAATGTCCGCCACGGGTTCTGCCCCTTCTCCCCTAGGCATTGTGCGGTCACAGACGGGAACGAAATGAAAACTGATACAGGCGATAGTTAATTGAATCTTACCTGATTCCCGTGTCCAATAATTAATAGCCTTCGGGGAAGCCTCCACGAGGCAAGCCAGCGTAACGTTGGTTGCAGTTGGTGCACCGACTAGCTGGTTCGGTACTTGAACCATCGGGTGAACTGCAATTTATCGTGATATCATTAATCAATAGCCAAACATAAAGTATACGTGTATGTAATAATTATCGGCCCCGGTGCGATTTGTCATTGGCAGCGATAACGACCAACGAAACGTGGCGGGGCTGATGCGTTCCGTTAAAGTAAATTCGATTCCGATTAATTAACGTCAACGTGGCAGTGGTCACGAAAGAATTCTTCACGGGGTAATAATGCAAATTTGTGTGTATACCTGACGAAAATGCGGAAACAATTTATTGGTGTCTGTGATGGTTTATTAAAATTGAGTTTTCATCAAATTGTCAAAATAAATTTGAAGGCAAACAGTGGAGATGATATTTGTGAATGAGTGATCGGGGAGAAAATTCCGATATTTACATTGGGTATCTGTTATTTCAGCCTGCACTTGAATGAATTGTTTCGTGGGATTGATTTCAATAAAAATTTGGATGCTTTGGGACCACCAAACAGGATCAGCTGTTGTCTGATGAGTGTAATAGGGATCGCCTTTGGTCTGACAAAGACAGTAGGTGTGGTCTTTGGTTGGGTAAATAAGTGTAATGGTTACGATTGTGAGTTAAATGAGAGCAATAAGACCCATCCTTGGCCAACTAAATAGAATAGACGTCAGCCCAGGTCAGAAAGATACTTAATTCTAAATATCTTCCATTTAAAGTTTAGAAACGAAATACGCTTAACCTCGTCTAAATAGTTTCTTCAAATCTTGATCAGCTGTACCAATGATCAAGCCCTGTTTGACAAGCACAGTGTTCGTCCCTAACGAGAAAAAAATCAAATTAAAGCCTGTAAAAATAAGTCTACTATTATCTGTATGTGATCAGACAAGTAGACTACGTGTTATTTTCGGAGAGTAAAACGTGATAAATACTAAAACAACATATTTGTCAACTTCAACAATAATTACTTGTTGAATACTTTCCATTTCAAATTTAGAAACGAAACATGCTTGACCTCATCTAAATATCTTGTTCAAACTTCCATCAGTTGCACCAACGAACAATCTATTATATCTCATAAACACAGTGTTCGTCCCCAAAGAGAAAAGCAATCTACAGTAATGTCTCGATGAGTGCAACGGAAAGGTTTTCAGCCCCTCATAAGTTTATATTTTGCCCGAAGCCAAGCCTCTACTTAGCCTCTGTTTACTATGTTTTGATTGGTTCCACAGGGGGACTCCCCCAGTGATGGGAATAACGTCGTTGCTCGTGTCGCATTCATCGAGGAATCACTGTAATTGAAGTCTGATCTGCAAAAACGATGCATCTGCATTTCCAATAATTAACATATTCTTAATAGCCGTATCGAGGGAATTGTAGGACGAAAGTTCATCGCGAATATCGTTCGATTGTCTTTTCTTGAGGTTGCGTCCGGAACTGCTTTATGGTAACGGATCCTCTATTTTCTCGAGGTACAAGTTCAGATTTATTCCCGGGGTCGCTATTGTACACGAATGTACCGAAAGGAAAGGGATTCACGGGGGCGCAATAAAAATAACAAAGATCACGGGACCGATCTGTATTGCGCACCGGTTGCGCGAAGCAATCGCCTTACGTGGTATTTCATGATGTTCGTGGCTTTCGTGGAACCCATTAGTTGGCTACCGAAGGGTAGGGGAAGAGGCCACGTAAATCATGCTAATGAAATGATGACACGGCTGACAGTCTGTCATTTAGAACGAACCAGGTGAACCCTCAGAAGCACGTTCTTCGTCTCCGAAGATCGTAAGCAGCTTTCTGTGAGCTGCTTAGGCTTTAACGGCCAACCCCCCCCCCCCTCCTTTCCAATGGCCAGTTCTTTTAACCGGAGATGCGTTTGTCCGTGCATCTCGTTGGAGGACGAGGTGTAAGAGAAGCTTCGTCAGACGACTTATCTAATCAGTCTATGGAATGTTAATAAAAATCTGGTATACTTTAACGAGGTGGATTCTAGTTGCCAAACTAACAAGGAGAAGTCACAGTCGTTGGGTCGTCGATTTTAAAATGAAACTTTTTCTGATGAATCTGGAGCAAAAACAAGACTAGATTAATTTTTTATGAAGATATTTTATATTTAATTTTGATGAATTTAACAAATACAGGAGTAATAGAAGCTAATTGCAACAGCTATGGTAATGAAAGTGGTTAAGTGCTAGGTTCTTATACCACTGTATCGATGGTTGGAATCCCGGAAAATAATTGTTTTTTTTTAAATGTATTACATGTTTCCTTTTCTTTAATTTTGTATTATTTGTTACATTTTTCCTTTTTTTCTATATTGTTTGAAGCTGTTTAGTATACTTCTACTTCGAACGCATTTTCCTTATTCTTGATTTTCGTTTTACTGTTGGCATGTAGAATCGTGCCTGTGAAAGTATCTCAGATTTCTATTAGCACCTTCTATATTTTAAACTCATTAGGGATACATTTATTAAGACCTGGAGAAAATGATTTTTCTTCCTTTTCGGTTGTATTTATTTAAAACATATTTACGAATATTACTGACGATCAATTGGTAGGATATCTTTCTTTTGTTGGGAAAAATTTCTATTCAGTATATATTCATCTTTCGGAATAATGCTTCAATGAAAGAGGAATTAAACGTACACATATAAGCGACTATAATCCCTCAAGAAGTTAATAACGCGGTTCAAGTGAAAGCGTTCCGAATAATTTGCAGTAGATTTCGATGATACTGAAATCCGGATGTGAAGGGGACTTCAGAATTTCCGATTTCTGTTTTAGTTTATAATTGGTATTCCGTGTTGTGAATAAGTATCGTAGAAGTTGATGGATTTTGTTAGTTGTTTCAAGTACATTGAGTGTTACATATTCATGATAAACTGACGAATAGCCAATTCCTTATTTTACGATTACCGAAATTCTAATAGTGCTTTTGACGGAATTTATGTTGTATTTTAATTTACTACACATTTTATGTTATACTATATTATGCTAAATTGTACTATATATTATGTATATTACTATATTATACAATTCAATTCAGTATACATTCGAATGCTGGTAGTTCTACTGTTAACCAATTTAAATGGTTCTACAAAAATGTTATTTAATCATTTTTATCAAACAGTTTAATTAACTACGAGTATTCTGTATTGCACGTAGGTCGCAAGATTTTGGTACATAGTTCTAACAAACAAGTGTTTTGTCTGTTTGCTATGTGTGATTTAAAAATGAACAGAGATGACGGGGAATGCTTCAAGTGAAACAATTTTCACGAGCAATTCGAGGATCGAGTCAAACGATGCGACCGGAGAGAATTATTTAATACGTCAGCGGCCCAATTAAAACTTTTACGCCGTTACAGACTTATGGGGCTAATAAATCAATCTTTATATCTCGACACTCGTATCCTGCTGGTAGCAACGCGTATATTCATTTAGTCGTGGCTCGATTGTGGCCCCGTCGTTTCGGTTCGATGTTTAGATTAATGAGCCGAACGCAATCCAGTTCTGTAATTGGCTGGGGGGGAGTGGGTTGGCGTAACTGCGACGACACCAAAAACACGGATAAAGATGTCCGTACCACCATAAATACATGTTTAAACAATCGAATTTCTGGGAACAATTGAATTTCGTGAAAAGGTCGTCAATAACTTCTTAAATGATTTGTGATTTATCGTAACAAGATGGTTCCTTTTTTTCTCAATCAATATTCTGCAAATGTTTTAAGGAAAAAACACTATATTTAACTGTAACTAATTGATTATTACTGTTAATATAGACACTTTTTGTCAGATATGAATATTTAATCATAAAGTAAATAACACTAGTAATTCAATTATTCACGAAGAAAATGACGTTAAGAAGTAATTAGCAAACAGTTTGGATCATTTGTATACGTCGTCACGAATTTAACGTTTTCTGCTTGTCTGCTTCCATTTGGATTCGCTAATTTACCTAACATTTATAACTGATGCTATCAGCCTGGATATTCTATATGGCGTAATAAATGATTTTGGATAGAAAGGCTTAATATAAATTTCTAATTACCAACAAGTTAATTGCTAAAATCAGTCTCCAATTATAAACTACCATCTAATTAACTTGTATTAATTTTAGTAGTGCCGTCGCTATATCGATTGCATTAAAACCATCCATTTATCGTTTCCGACAAAGGTGGTCATTATAAATATACCACGCTGTAATACAGTTAATTAATTGGATATTCGAATATTTCACGGAATAGTACAAAATGGACCGCACGGGTACAATTATAATACTATAGCTATCCACCGTATCATTAATCCCGCCGTAATGTATTCGTCATCCGATATTATTTATTGACAAATCAAATTATCTATTAATTGAATAAACAGTGAAAAGGTCAGCGACGAGGAAGAGTCTGGTGGCCTCGTATGGCTGAACCTTTAATGGTGTTCGACTAGAGTAACAGTGAAGAATGATCGCAAATTTTTTTAGAACGTTGTTGAACATAAAAGTTAATTTTACACCGAAAGGAATAATTCGCAAAAATACGCTTCTTCGCGACGCGTTACACACTTGTCCGACCCTTTGAACGTTAAAGGCTGAGGGACGGTATTTGGTCCGAGATAGGTCGGCTCGCCGCGAAATAAATCATTTAAATTGGAGGAAAGAGAAATCCCGACTAATAGCTTAGGATCCCGACGAAGGTGTGTCCCCTGATGCGATTGCGGGCGGCGAAGTAAGCCTGTAAGGCGAAACATTGGGACGCCCTAATAGGTTTCCAGGTCGGCTGGTCAAGCCGCTTTATGTGGTCTCGCCGTAGGTAGCCGATCTTCATGATGAGAATTAGTGCTATGATATCAGAACTTTCGTGATAACCTCTAATAAATCCTTCTTAACTTGTATTGCCGGCAACCTACGGTGTAACTTACAGCAACTGCTATATTGAGTACACTGATTCTAAAACTAATCTAAGGATTACTTAGCCCTGACGGGCCCAGAATTAATAGTGTTAACATAGGTTGGAAAGGAGAGGAGAACTTGACGCGTTCAGTGATTA